AAAAAAAAAAAAAAAAAGCTAAATGTCTCCTTCCTCTCGCTCTTAAAATATCAGGGAGAAATAACATAAAGTCATTTATATGAGTTGACAGTTCAGCTCATAGAAATTGTAATGATGGCTTTTCTAAAAGAAATCCCAGCAATCACTGCTGATGTTTCTATTGTGTTTTTAAACATTTTTCCTACATCCACTAAGATATGAAGCTAAAAGATGTCCTTCTATATTATTTCTTTTTATTCCATAATTTCCATAAAATATTTTGAACTTCTGTAAATTTCAGGAATTTGTACCAAAGTTTTTGATAAATCAACAAAGTTTTCTTTAAAAGAAAAAGAAAAGAAACAATGCTATACAATGCTTCAGGTGATTTCTTTTGAAGGTTTTTCATTTGCTCGTTTTAATGAGAGTCACCATAAGTGAGCAAAAAAGTCTGGAAGTGCTCAGTACAGGCAGGAAAAAGCCGTCACATTTTAAATTGCAGTTATGAAATGCAAATAGATTGCTTCTCAACACTTGCTTTTTATTGTAGCTTCAATAAGCAATAATGTGAGAGCTGATTATTCCTGCAGTAGACTTCCATAAAAAGCATACATTACGTCTCACAAGTTGCTTGTCTTTGAATTACAGACGCATGCCAAGTCTACTGGAATATTTAAGTTACAACTGTAATTTCATGGGTATCCTGGCAGGCCCGTTATGCTCTTATAAAGACTATATTACTTTCATTGAAGGCAGATCATACCAACTGCAACAGTCTGAAGCAAATGGGAAGGAAGATATAAAATATGAACAAACGGATCCCTCTCCAAATGTAAGATCTATTACTTTTGCAGTGCTGCTGTTTATATAGTCATTGCATGGAAAGCTTGTTTTGCACTATTCACTTACAGGCATCACTTCTGAGCTATATCCAGAGTTCAGTCATCAATGATACAGTTTTCTGTTCATGAAAATAACAAACGGTTTTCTGCATAGATTCTCACTTGTAGGTCTCATTTACAAAAGCAAATGACACTGAAGCTGTCTAACAAGCTTATATGGTAAAAAGTTATTTTCAGATAAATCAGTTCATGTACATTTCTTTCAGTGCACAAACATGCATATAGTATGTATCAGCTGCTTCTGAAAATAAGTCAAAAAATGTGTGCGCGCTTTGGGGACCACATAAATTTTGTTTTCTGAAAAAAAGTGGAAGACATACAAGCTACTGCAAGCCTTCATGAAATTTGTTAGGCACCAAAATGTGGTAGAATTTTTACTGCATTTTTACATGCAGCATTTCACTGCATTTTTACATGTAGCACACCTTATCAGATCCCCTTAGGAAAGAGGTCTTTGACATGTTTCTGTAAATATTCTGACTTGAAGAAAAAAAAATCCAGAAAACTTTATGTAGAGAATAAATAAGTAACGTTGTTCTGTAGCTATAATACAAATAAAAGGCGTGTTCTCTTCAATGCACTGCACTTCAGAGGCTAGGTATGCTGCTTTCCCTTTCCTGATTGCTCTCCTGTCAGAGTAGGGTTCCTTACCTATGGGTGAAATGAAACCCTGTGGATTGTAACTTGCAAGAGACGCACATATAATGTAAGTGAAGACTGAAGGTTGTTGACATTTACAATAAAAAGTTTAACTCTTGGGATACTGAACATACAGATTGTTATTCTTTTTAAGTGTCAATTTATCTGCTTTCATTAATGTGCATATGTGCTCTTATTTGAGTTTCAATCCAAGATGCAGTTATTACCTCAAACAGGTAACATTTGAATTTACTGGGTGGGAGTGGAGGGGTGGGAAATGATCTCACCAAATACATTTATCCCCATAAATCCATTGCCAACTCCTCTTTCCTTCATATCTTGAAATTTATTTCCAAGCTGGTAGTTTAGATTGAGAGAGTGGGAGCAAATGTACCTTGTGACCCCCTCTGTGTGCACTGAGGCACATCAGACTAGCAAGTTTCTAACTTTATTTTTTTTTAAATAACAACTTTTGCTTTGTATGAATCAGAGCATGGCTTAATACATTTGGAGAATTCCATATATGGGACCTCTGGTTTTGAGGAAAACATACTTGTAGGTCTTTCCTGTATTTTTGTTAAATTCTAACTGTTCAAAACTACTAGTATATTTAAATTAATTTGAGAAGGTCTTATCCTGACTGCCTCAAAGGAAATCTAAATGTTACCATATAAACTTGCTAGTAAGCTCTCAAGTATCTGAGTGAAAAAGCTCAATAAATAAATGGGAATCCATAAAAGAATTCTACCTTGAAAAATAATACAGCTTCAGGTAAGCAGTTTTTTCTTTTTAAATTGTATTGTTTGTAGAATGCTTGAATATTTTGTAATCTATGCTGCATTAGCTTTTTTGGTATTGAGACTGAGAAGCTGTCTTTGCTCCTAGTACTTCACTTCCCAACTGGTGTTAAACAAATATGGCTGCATTTTATAACACCAGTGAGTCTTTGCGTGCTTTTGGGAAAATGTGGACGGTTTTAATTTCTTTACTGCATTTGCTGTATCAATGACAATGTCTTTCATTTTGTTATATTGTTATGCTTTAAATATTTCTTGATGAATGTCTACCAAAGACTTACCTGTATTCTCATATTGAATTTTGTTTTTTTAAAGAAGAATAAATCATTAGTTAATTTTTCAATAAGAAACATAATGGGGTTCAGCAAATGTTCATGTCTTAGACTTAAAAAAATTTCAGCTCAATTTACTGTAAGCTTCCTTTCGTGTTAAATTTCATTTCTATAACACAATGTTCATGCCAGCCTCTTCCTGTATAGTGTGTGTTGACTGCATGATATAAGTTTAGCTTAGCTTTTTTTACTGTGTTAATTGCATGTTACTTGAATCTGGTCAACATTTTAAAATTTATTTCATATCTCCTTCCTGTGCCTTTTTACAAGCTGTCATTTATTGGTGCTCAAAGTGGTGTCAACTGTCAGACATTAATTTCTATCTTCGTAAGTTTCTTTTTATTATAGCTATTAGCTACCCTTAAAATGGAACAAATCCATGTGCTTTCAGCTTCTTATTAGATGGACAGTTGTTAGAAGTTGAAACTCTTGCTTTTAATTGCCTGCAGTTTTTAACTGAATAATAGTCTCAAATGTAATAAACTTTTTTTTGGTAATTTTGTACTATAGCGAACTCCTTCATTGTTTGAGTATTGGCTACTACTTACAAATGAATGTATTCCAGTAGAAGTCTAAAAAACTTACTAGAAAGGTCTATTTACTATAGGCCTGGTCAGAACTCCTTTGGAGTCCATGAGAGTCTCTTCTTTGTGGTCAGCAGGCCTTGCCTCAGGCTGTAGGTGTTGAACAAGGGCAAGGAGGATTTGTTGAATGGGTTTGAAATATGAGATCACCAAATTTTATGAAATAGAAAATAGAACTGATATAATATACATACTTCCTCTGTCACTTAATTTGGCCATTGTCAGGCCATGGAACAGCAAGGACCAGAGCAAAGAGAAATTTTGTGGTGAGAATAGCAAAGGAGTGATTTAGTGATTTGAATGACTGAAGCACTATACATGAGAGATATTCTATCCTATGTATTGCTTTGTGACTATAAAGCTGTCTTGTAATATATATATTTTTTTAAACAACTCTGCTTAATGAATAGTACACATTACTATTTAGAGAATCATTTCCTAACTAGTGCTGCAGTAAGCAGCTTTTTTGTTTCATGTTATACTGAGTTTTGTTAAATATAATTTTAGTGTCCATACAAATATTGACAAAGGGCAGAAGCCATTAGTGAAGTTAAACACCCTCCCCCCCCAGTTGAAATATAATATTTAGAGTGAGTTTTCCCATTCTGTGCTCTGGCAAACTGTTTTGTACTGATGAACTGGTCACCTTGATATTAAGGAAATGAATATTTCCAGATATATTCAGGAGGGAACGGTCTCCCCTATGTTCATAAGGGGCTTAGTATAATGGATTGAACCTAACTGACGTCTCTGGGATAGTAATACAAATAATTAACTTTGAAACCAGTATTATAAACATCATCAACATTATAAATAAAATTGGGTAATATAAGGGTAACATATTTACTTATTTTAAAACATAAATGTAACAATGCAGTATTTAAACACTCTTAGTTTCAAGATTTTCATAAATGTTGACTAAGCCCCCCAGATCTGTAATTGTTCGGTTTGGGTTTTAAAAAGTAAATAAAATTCCAGGCAAAACCCTGAGTGTTATCCATACTTGAAATTTAAACACCATTTGCTACACGTCAGTCAGTTATTTCAATGGGAAACTTTGTCTTCCTTTGAGTTATTTACTGTGCTATTTCTTGTAAGTTACCTACTCTGCAAAATGGATGTTAAAGTTCTCCAAGGAAATCCAAAATATTACTCCATGTAGGTACAACTATACTTGTACTGAGTTTACCCAGGAGTAGAAAAGAGTATAGATTTAATCTATACTGAGAAATAGGAAGACTTAGTTTGCAACAGTATTGAAACTTAACTAATGTTCTGAGAGTTCTTTGCAATCTCTCAGTGGAAAAGCATAGTTAACTATTTATAAAAGTGCAAGCACTGTTTCATAAAAGTGCAACTGTTTTTTGTTTTTCAAACAAGTGCTACATTTTTTCCAAACTAAATGGCAGATAAGTACCTTAGGTGGGCATATATTGAATGTGTGTGAATAATCTAGTAGATGTCTGAAATTTCAGCTGTGTGTAAGCCACCAGAGAATTATGAATTAAAACCATTCCTTGAAAGATAAAGACAAAATAGTTTTAGGAGGCATAGGGCACTCAACCAGAAGTCTTAAAGGGGACCCATACATGTGCCTGATGCCTGCTCTGATGTATTCTAAATAGAACAGTTAATCAAGTCTGCTGGAGAATTCTAATTGGACTACTCCAGCAGCCCCGGCATCATGTGTATTGAACATCCCCACATTTCAAAATGACAGCGGGCGACACTTTTAACTCAAGCTTGGGGATTGAGCTTTAAAGCATCTCCACTGCCATTTTGAAGTGCAGGATGCTGAATACATGAGATACTGAGGGTGTTTTAGAGCAGCTTCCATGAGCCACTCTAATAAAAATGCCTCCCTCCTCTCCACCCAGGAACACGTGTAAAGATGCCCAAAGTGACAATCACTTAGGCTAGGGACAGACATTCAAAAAGCCTGAGCCTGAATTGAATCAATCTTTGCAGATTAGTCTAACCTGGCCAGGCTGAATCAGTTTATAACCATACAGACATCCCCTTGGGACTGAAAAAATGTAGGCACGCACCTGCAATGGCTCAGGCTAGAAGCTGGGGAGCACTATAGCAGCCCTCCCTTCCCTTCACAGAAATTTGTAGTGCTGGAATTGAATGCCTGTTCCAAACTTTAATCATTGGTGTTTTATCTAAAGGAATTATGGCATAAGAGAATTTTATGGAGTCATCTGTAGCAGTGGTGACATGTAGGAGGTGCATGGGGTGCCCGTGCACCCCCTGACCAGCCATGCTTGCTGCCTAGGCAATGGGACAGGCTGGAGCACTGGTGCCCCCACTGCAAGCAGCGGCTGATTGCTGCAGCCACTCCTGGAAATGGCTGCAGGAATTGGCTGCGGGATTGGTGCCCTGGGCAGCAAGATCGGCCGCAGGGGACCCCCTCACCCCCTGGGCAGTGAAATTGGCTGCAGGGGATACCCCCCCCTTGTCAGCAGGACTGGTCACAGGGAGCTCTACCTGTTCATTAGGGACAGTATGATAGGAAGCAGGAAAATGTTTGTTTTGATGTTGTTAGCAAACAGTTAAGTTTGGCATCTCTTACAGA